GTTGAGACTGGGATTTGAACTCAGGGCTTCATGCTTGCAAGGCAGGCAACTCCTTGAATTACACCTCCAGTCCATTTTGCTCTGGTTATTTTTGGAGTTGGAGTTCTCACAAATTATTTGCCCAAGGTGGCCTCAAACTTTGCTCTTCCTGATCTCAGCCTCCTAAGTAGCTAGGATTACAGGTGTGTCCCATTGGAGTCCGGCTTTGTCTTTGTTTTCATGGTGCTAATCTCGTTAGCAACCATGCCCTCCTTGGCTGTAACTTTACATGTGCTCCTTTTCTGGCCAAACTACACATTTTTCAAATCTTCCTTCTCTGTATTTTGCTCCTAATTCTCACTGTAAACCTGGCTAAGAGCCTGTAGCACTATCCATGCCACAGCCTGAACACTAGGCTGTCGTGGAATTTCCTCTGCCAAATTTACTCCATTACTTTCAAATTTAGCCTCGAAGTCTCAGGGTATGAACAAAAATGTGGACACAGTCTTTGTCAGAACACTATATACATGGTCTCTAGGCCAACTCCCAATAGCATCCTTGTTCCCATCTGAAGCCTCCCGAGATCAGTCTCTACTCTCCGCATTCCTATCAGAATTCTGGTCTTCTGAGCTCCCACCAGAATCACTCATTAAGTTCTGCTTACAGAATCCAGCCTTCCTCTAGCCTGCTTTGCCAAACCTTTTTCTTCTTGGTGGTACTAGGATATGAACTCTGGGCCTTACACTTGTAGGCACATCCCCAGACCTTTTCACTTTAGCTATTTTTCAGAAGGGGTCTGGTGCTTTTTGCCCAGGACCAGCCTTGTACTGAGATTCTCGTACCTGTGCCTCCCACTCAGCTGGGATTCACAGACATGCTCAACCATGCCCAGCTTGTTTACTGAGGGAAAAAAACCAATCAGGTCAGGTTTAGTTTCAGCAAAGCCCCACTTCTCCAATAGTGATTTTGTTAGATACTTTTCTCATTGCTGTGACCATTGCCTGACATAAACAACTTAAGGGAGAAAAGATTTATTTGGGCTCACAGTTTCGTAGGATTCAGTCCATGGTGGGTTGGCTCCATTACTCTAGACCTCTGGCCAGGCAGAACATCATGGTGGTGGGAGCCTGTGGAAGAGAAGGCTGTTCTCATGGCGGACAGGAAGCAGAGAGTGAGGAAGGAACTGGGGACTGGGTAGAACTTTCAAGGGCATGCCTCCAACTGGGCCCTACCTCCTAAAGTTTCCAGAACCTCCAAAAATAGCACTGCCCGCTGGGGACCAAGTGTTCAATTCATATTCAGAGCATAGCACCCATCGATTGTAACACACAGCGCAGAGACCATGGGTGTTTGTAAATCTTTGCACATTGTGTGCTGGTTTTTATAGCCTCAAGGCTAGAACAGCTGGGCTGAAAGTATACTGGGAAGGGATCAAGGAAACCTGTGAGGGGGCTAGATTGTCATGAGGAATATTTATAAGGCGAGGGCACTTAAAGAAGTTGTAAGTTAAGTTTATTTGTAGAGGCTGGGGAGGGATAGAGGGGAGAATTGAAGTTACCTTGAAAAATAAAAACCGTGGAGGAGAGAGCCACTAAAGCTCCCACAAGCCACTTTCTTTTGATGTAACAGGTGAGAAACTGGTACACACATTTTTTTAAATAGTGAAAATGATAGTAACATTTATTAGGAGAGGAGAGTGCTTTCAGTTGCCTCAAGGCAGGTCGTCTCTAGAGTGAGAACGACTGGTATAGACATTTTGAGCTAACAGACATTGTACGTATCTGAGCTTGAAAGAACTACTCTCCAAATTCTGTTAACGAGGCAGATTTAGCTAGATGTAGTGACACATGTCTATAATCCCAGCACTCAGGAGGCCAAGGCAGAAGGAATTCGAGTTCATGGCCAGCCTGGGTTTTATAGTGAGTTCAAGGTTAGCCTGGGCAGTGAGACCCTGTCTCAAAAAAACAAAAATCAGAAACCATAAACCCAAACAAAACACCGGCTTGGTGTGGTGGCTCATCCCTGTAGTACTAGCTACTCAGGACACAGAGATTGGGAGGATTGTGGTTTGAGGCCAGCCAGGGCAAAAAGTTCATGAGACCCTATCTCAAACAATAATAAGCTGGGCATGGTGGGGCAAACCTTTCATTTCAGCCAGCTGTGCAGGAAATGTAAATAGGAGGACATACATCCAGGCTGTCCTGAGCACAAATTTGAGCCCCTGTCTCAAAAATAATGTAAGCAAAAAATGTTTGGGGGGCATGGCTCAAGTGGTAGAGCGCCTGCCTAGCAAGAGTGAGGCCCTGAATTCAAACCCCAGTAGTGAAAAAAAAAAAGCCAAATAACAAACACCAAAACAAGACAGATTTTTTTCATGACAAAAGCGCAGAAGACTGAAAGAGAAAAGTTTGAAATGACAAAGTGTAACTAAAGCTCCTTGGTTAGCCTTCTGGTGTTTTTCCTGTCTGTTTTCAGTACATAATTTTAAATATATACATAGCAGTCTGTTTTGTACTCTTTTTATTAAGTATGAGCTGTTTCCCATTCTATGAAAACCTCTGTTATTAACATGGACCCTAAGGGTGGGCACATCCCCTGAGTTGACACCCCATCCCCTTCTCACAGACAGACACAGGAGGAGGGCAGAGCTGGACTGGGGGACTGGTCCCCTTGTACCTTCCTGGATTTCTCTTCTGTAAGGTTTGGGGGCCAGTGGCTGTGCCCTGAGAGGACTGGCTGAGTTGGGGAGAGAGCCTTTGCCTATAGCCCGGGCCTGCACACTTCTAACCGCTCAGTAAATCAGGCTCCTTTCCCGTTGTCTGTTAAAGGGATCATGACTCAGGCAGTTTGTGGTGTTTCAGCACAGGCTGTTGTAGTTTGGGGTGCTGGGGTTTTGTGCTGTCTTCCACTAATGCTTCTTAAAGTGTGGGAACCGTAACAAATGAATTGAAGTGAGATTTTTTTCCCTTTCTGTCTTCTACTAATTTTTCCAACTCTGTCTGTCCATTATGTGATAATGTGATTTGTAAAGAGGTTTAACCTTTCTTATGCTTGCTAACCTCTTTTTTTAAACCAAGACACCCCAATTTGGAGGCTCAGTCTGCAGGCAGGCATAGTGTTTAACTAGACTTTCATTCTAGATCTTTATCTGCACTGGCTTTTGTTCTTAACGTTTTTTTGTTTTTGCTTGGTATGTTTAAAGTTGGTTATGGATATTTATGGTATAAGGTTTTGGTTTTCCATTTATTTCTGTGATAGACTTTAATGTAATCTAACAATTTAATGTAATGAAATTATATAATTTAATATATGTGTTTAATAGTCTGTTAAAAGGGAGGGTGGGGGTGTAGCTCAGTGGTAGAACCTTGCCTAGTGTGCATGAGGCCCTGGGTTCCATCCCTGCAGTCCTGACCCCTTGATCGCGTTTGAGAAGTCCTGTGTAGCTGGGAAGATGAACTTTTTTAATTAGCTCAGCTCACAACTGGGCCTGTAGTGATAATGGCCAGACCTTCCTCCCCCAATCCCCCATTCTGCCCCCTGATGGCGCTATTGAGTGATCTGGTGTTGTTTACCCCCCAAAAAAAACCCCCTCCAAAACCCCAAAGCTGATGAACTTTGACGCTCTCCTGCTGTATCTTCCTGGAACCTCCAAGGAACATGTGGTTTTTAAGAGGCTCTTTACAGATTAGTTAGCAGCTTAAGGCAGTCAGTTCTTGCTTCCTGAGTGCCTACTGTATGCACACCCTGCTCTTGGCAGACTTGAGCTCTTCATTCTCTCAGCAGCATTTAGAAGTAGGCACTCTGGATAAATCCACATTGGTCCTGAGGACAATCTGGGAGGGATGAAGTGGGGCCACAGACACAGCTTTGGCATCCACAGCTGAGCTGCCTAGCTTCCAGGCTTGTGCTCCTCCTCTGTGCCTCCTGAAGAAATTTGGAAGGATTTAATAGTGGGTTTTTTTTTCCTTTATGCAAAAAATTAAAAGTGCACACTAAAAGGCATCTGTTTAAGGGATTGTATCTTCTAGATTAATGATGTATAACTTGAAGCCTACAAAATCTTTCGAAGCCAAACTAATGAAATTCTAGAAGTAAAATTCCCAAGCTAGAGGAGACTTTTCTTTGGATGGCAACCTTTGTGTTCTGTACAAGGAAGATCCAGGATGAAGATGAGGATGAGATGGAACAGAAGATTGTTATCTCAAATAAGCTGCTTTTTCTTGCATTCCTGGGGATCAAACCCAGGGTCCTGTGCACTGCAGGCAGGCGTTCTACCACTTGAGCCATGACCCCCATCCTTTTGCTTTTAGTTTGTTTTAAAAATAGGGTCTCCTGCTTTGGCTTGGCTAGCCCAAACTCTGATCCTCCTACTTCCACCTGCTGAGTAGCTGGGATTGCAGGTGTGTTCCGCCATACCTGCTTCCCTAAACTACTTCTCTTGAAGGAGATTTGGAAAAGGGGACAAAGACATGCAGGTGAGGCCAGTACAGACCAAGTGTGTGTCCAGCACCAAGCCCCTGTTGGCACTTTAATATCCTTTCTCACCCCAGCTTCCCCAATAACTCTGCAAAGTGGAGACTGGTTCCATTTTATTTAACTTTTTTTGTGGTGCTAGGGATGGAACCCAGGGGTTTGTACATGCCAAGCAAGTGCTTTACCACTGAGCTTCACCCCTAGCAGTGCTCCTGATATAAATGAGGTCTTAGGCTCAAAGAGGTAGTTAGACAAGTCCCAGAGCCAGGAGCAGAGCAGGCCCTGCAAATTCAGGCCCTGGTGGTTGCCAGGTGCTTTGTCTTATCAAATGAATCCCAAATGAAAGCTTGTGTGGACTATGAACTCTGCATGTGCAACCTGAAGTTCCTTTTCTGTAAAAGCAGGCTTCCCAGAGTGGCCTTGCTCACGGAGAGCATGTGCGGAGCTTCAAGTGTCACAGAAATGCAATTCGTGAGCCATCCTGCCTCCAGCCTCCCTTGATTCCCTGCAGGTCCCTGCTCTAACCTCAGTTTCCCCACTTCTTCCAGGACCAGCAGAGAACGAATGCCAAAAACTCATGTGCCAGTGTGACGAGGAGATTGCTTACTGCCTCGCCAAGGCTGAGTACCACATAAAGTACCTCTTCTACCCCCACTTTCTATGTGAGGCAGACTCGCCCAAGTGTGACTGACTGGGCGGACTTTGATGTGTTCATTTGCACAAGCAAATAAAATTCCTTTTCACTACTGAACAATGGCAGTCAGTTTTCTGCAGGAGGCAACTGAGGCCAAGCGATAAAGTGGAGAAAGCCTTGTGTTTGCTTTCTCTCTTCATCTGGGAACTCAGGACTGGAGCTGATTAGGTTCCAGTTTGATGAAGGGCAAAAAAGTCCTGGGCTTATGTTGTAAAATGACAGCTGTGCTGAGCTTGGTATCATTTAGGGGATTCAAAGTGGAACCCTCTTGTGGAAAGATGGGCATGTCTTTTTTTTTTTTTTTTTTGCCTTTTTTTGGTGGGACTGGGGTTTGAACTCAGAGCTTCAGAGTTTGCAAAGCAGGCACTCCACATATACAGTCTATTTTGCTCTGGTTATTTTGGAGATGGGAAGCTCTTGAGAGTTATTTGCCTGGGCTGGCCTTAAACCTCAATCCTCCTGATCTCAGCCTCCCAAGTAGCTAGGATTATAGGTGTGAGCCACCGGCGCCTGCTGCTGATGGCTGGAGGTCAGATGTGAGCAAGTGCCTGCTATGTGCTTGGCCACCTGCAGGCTCTGGGTCACACATGTGGGCTGGAGGTGTAACTCAGGTGTAGAGCACTTACTTAGCATGCAGGCCCTGGGTTTGATCACCAGCAGTGCAAAAGACAGTCACATGACACGCCACCCCTGCTAAGTTCAAGTACAGTACTTGTTACCTTAATAAAGTATTCCCCATCCTACTCCATCTTTTTTTCTTTTTTCAGTTCTGGGGTTTGTACTCAGGGCCCCATGTTGCTCGGCAGTCGCTCTGCCACTTGAGCCATTCCCCAGCCCTTTTTCGCTTTTGTTATTTTTTCTTTTTTTGCCCAGGCTATCTTCAAACAGTGATCCTCCCAATCTCTGCCTCCTGAGAAGATGGGTTTACAAGAGTGAGCTGCCACACCTGGCTCTGGTCTTTTCCATAGTTATTAAAAATGTAGTTGAAGCCAGGCATGGTGGCCCACATCTGTAATCCAACACTCAGAGGAGGCTGAGGCAGGGGATCAGGAGTTTGAGGCCAACCTGGGTTACCTAGTAAGTTTAAAACCAACTTGGGCTACAGTGAAACCCATCTCAAAAAACGTTAAAAAAAAAAAATTGTAGTTGAGACTGTGTGATTTTCATAAACTTTTCTCCATTCTATTTAAAAAAACAATCTTTAGAAACATTCTCTATTAGGCTGGGGATGTAGCTCAGTGGTGGAGTGCTTGCTTATTACCACTTGTGAGGCCCTAGGTTCTTTCCCTAGCATTCCACCCCCCCAAAACAAACAACAAAAAACCCCCCAAACTCAAAACCAAACCAAACTGACTAGAATTGTGATAGATACCATTTATAGATGGGCAACTTTGGAGATGGTTTTCTTTAGTAGTTTTGGTGAGGACGCTTGTAAATAAATCCTTGCTGTTATCCTTATCCCCACCTTTTAATATTCCCTTGATCTGAATTTGGAGAAATGGCATTCTTAATCACCTTTTGAAGCCCCAAAGGCTGAGAGTCTGTGGGCGCACCTGAGCACACCCAGCCCTCCTGTTTGCTCTAGGCTGAGTCTCCTTTGCCCTCTTTCCTGGGAGCAGATCTGGTATTACTCATCTTTGAGGCAGGATGGGGTGGGGTGCAGGGGCACTGGCCTGGGAGTGTGGCAAATGTGCTCCAGCCTGGGCCCAGCTGCACCCACACCAGGCAGCCCCAGCTTTAGATGGGAAGGGCCTGAGGCCAGGCCTGCGCAAGCATGACAGCACCCCCCAGCCCCAGGGTCCTGAATGTCTCTGGCAGGTCATGATGGTAAAAACAGGAGGAACAACATTTTTCTCTGTTTTCACTGAGGACCCACCAAAGGGCAGCCCCTTGGCTCATTGTCCACGTAGAGCTGGGATTAAGCATGGCTTGTAGTTTGTATCAGGCAATTCAGATTTTTTTGTATTTTCTAATCAGTTTTTCATTGTACAGAGGTTTTATCTGTATAAAAATCTTTATTTTTATTTGAAGTAATTTCTTCAAACTTTCAAATGCAGCTTGAGTGAAATCTTTGCTCAAAGATACAAAGGGTTAAGGAATGGTTTGTGGAGTCACAAACACACACTTTGGATGCAAGCCTATCTCCCTCAAGCCAATCTTGATGAGAACATACTTGCTATTTTTCACACTGGAAGGAAATGAAAGGCCACCTTTCAGCTCATTCCTGGTATTTACAATAATAGCACGTGGCTTAATTATACCTGCTGTTTACATATCAGAACAGGATGATAAAGGCTATACATTATACAGTGTGAGGTCAATTTATAAAATGTTTCCTTGCACAAAGACTATCTTGGATTTATTTTACAAATTAAATTTTTAAAAACAAAACAAAACCCCAAACTGCTTTTAAGTAGCCCGACTCAGCTCAGATGAAGTGAATTACATTCTACTCACCCCTGACATTCCACTCACACCCCTCTCCCCTTCCAGGAAGGGATCCAGTCTCCCAATGATTGCAGAAACAGAAACAGTGAAGACAGTTACCCATCAGTTTAACCTCAATCTGAATTCCTTTAGAGGTTTACTCTGAAGCCTACCAACTATTCCACAAGAAAGAACTGCTGATTGAATTTTGAATTTTCCTCTGTATTGTTCATGTATAACTATCTATACCTATGACAAATCTTATCCCTGTTTTTCACAGGTCATGCTTGGCCCCAATAAGCCTGGTGTATCAGACTATGGGAGCCTCTGTCAGTCACTGAGATTAGGGCAAGGGGGGACTGGCCGACATGGTGGCCTTCTGACATCACCCACACTGTACAGCCACTGTGGCCTCAGCCTCCCCAGTCCCTGTGAGGGAGGCAGGGGAGGGGCTGCTGCTGTGCTGGCCAGACAGTCCTCTGTGCACTGGGACATCAGTCTCTGCTGCCACTGTGCCACAGGCAGAGGGAGAGAGGACCTGGTTGAAGCCTTTGACATAAAGCAGCACCTTGCTTTACCAGGGGTAGAAACAGGGAAGTCTGCTTCCTCCCTTGCCTTCTGAAGCATCAGGGCTCAGGGAGATCCGAAGAGTTTTCCAGAGCCAGGGTAGTGCCAGTCACAACACTTGGGTTTCCAGCCGTCGGACTTCCTTAACCACAAGATCAATATTAATAATTGGGTTGAAGTACAGGGCCCAGTAAAACAGACAGTTGCAAACAAACTGAGGAATGAGGGGCCAGAACATGGCCACGAAAAGCCCCTGCGTTGACACTTTCCAAAAGTGGCTCCACATCCTCTGAGGTACTGTCCTGAAAAGAGGAGAAAGATAGCTCAGGGCAGGATCGGTCACTCCAGGGCCTTTCCCCAGGCCTCAGAGGGTTTGCCTGTGCTGTAAAGACCTGTCCTCTGTCCCCAGTGTCTGAGACATAGCTTTGTCTTCTGCAACCAGGACGCAGCTATAGGGTACTTCCTCTGGGTACCACTGCTTGGTTGCCACACTTGCATGGCTCCAAACTACCTCCCACCCCTTTGTTGCTGTCACAATTTAACATATTTTTTTTTAGCATGCATTTTCCTCTGCTGGGATGCAGGACAGGCATCTTGAGCAGGGATGCAGGAGAGGAATATGCATCTTGTCAGCATGAATAATAAGTCTGCTGAATGGAAACACATGAGGGAGATTCTTGTAAGGTTCTCTGAACTGTTTATAAGGTTGCTTCTGATTAATGAGGCCAAGAATCCTGCAAGTCATGGATCTCAAGATGACAGCAGCCTCCCTTTCTGGAAAAGCTTCTGAGTTGTTTTGAGGATGTCTCCCTCTCTCTCCTATTCTTTTTTTTTTTTCCTGGGGTCAGGGGCAGGGAGGGAGGAGGGCAGAAGGTGCTGGGGATTGAAACCAGAGTCTCATGTATGCTAAGCACATACTCTGTGACTGAGCTACACTCCCAGCCACTCCCTACCCCATTCTTTTCATGTGGCCTTGTTAAGGACAATGATGCAGTCGGTGGTCAGAAAATTTCCAAATTTTTTGTATCCCATGTGGAAGAATCCATGGCAGGACACATGGGTATGATGAAGTTTATTAAAAGTTAAGGAAGGGAATTACATGGAGGGAATTACAAAATGGACATGGTGGGACCAGGTGGAAGCTGGAAGCAGAGAGAGCGTCTTTCTCTTTTCCAGGTGCTTTTAAAACCTCCGCTAACCTATGGTAAGGGAAGAACATGGTGATTGCTAACCACCAATAACTGATGAGTGAGGAGGGGCATGGGTGGTCCCTGAGCCAGGTGGGGTGGTTTGAGCTGTCCCTATGCCAGGGTGTGAATAACTTACACACATTTGCAACTGAAAAAAAGGCTCAGGGAAAGAGAAGAATATTCAACCTGAAATACAATATTAAGTCATTTATGTTCTAAGCATCCCAAGCGTTCCCTATAGCTTGCCTCACTCTGGGTGGGGCTAAAACCAACCCCCCCCAGGTGTGGGTTGAGCACACACCTTGAGCCTAGCCTAGGAGAGCCCTGTACACCCCTGCAAACTGATGGATTAGGGTAGGCACGTGACTCACACTGGGCCAACCAGACCTAAGGCTGTGAGTCCTGAGACTTGTCACCCGCTGCTCAGAGAGTCTGGAGCAGCCAAAGGCTCCATCCTGAGAGGCTGAACAGCACAGGACAGAGCCGCCGAGGGCAGTCAGTCCTCAGGACAGCGTTTGGATCCCTAGGTTCAGCTCCCTTGATGCCCTGAATGGCCATTTCCTTTAGAGTAAAGCCATGTTCGGATGGCTTCTGTCACTTGCACTCAAGACATCTCTCCCAGGGACTGCCTCGTCCAGTGTTCACCTTTCTCATGCTAGAGGGTCTTACTGCCCCAGCTGGTGACACAGCAGGATTAGAACACACGTTTAAGGAACTCCCTGTGTTGGACTATATTGCTGTTTTTCCATAAAGTACCCTCCTCTCATTTGCTTATTTCTTAATTATTAAAATCCTTCAGGTATACATATCTCACAGGAATTATATGATTTGTCACCATTATTATCCCTACATTATTAACAATGATTATGAAGAGCCCAGTGTGGAGGTGCATGCCTATAGTCCCAGCTACTCAGGCTGAGGTAGGAAGATCATGAGTTTGAGACCAGCCTGGGCAACTTAGTGAGACCCTGTCTCAAAAAACAAAACAAACAATGAACACAAAGAACCCTCCCATCCCAAACACAAAATACTTTTCCTACTTGCTGCTCAGGTAGTATTTTCCAAATCCAGATTGTGAGGGGTCTTGGTAGGAGGATTTTTTTTTCCTTTTCAGGTTTGAGAAATACTTTGAAGGAGTTTTTCCCTCACTTGATATTCCCCACCTTGCTGCTCTAATCATAACCACATAGAAACACACTTACTTCAGCTCACTTCTTGACCAGATCCTCCAAAAGGAGAATAATTCCAGAACTGACAGTAACATGGCATTGACAATGAGAAACCTCGATGTCCAGTAATGGACCTCCAGCCAGTCCCAGGCAAACTCGGCTATGAGCTGGTAGGGAAGGAAGGAGTATTTGACAAGGAACTCTCGCCACTGCTTCCACGTGGGCTCTCTCAGGTCCTGGAGAGGGATCACACAGACACAGAACATCACGAGGACTGCTGCGAGCAGTGAGCTTTACACATGTACAACACACCTAACGTTCTAAAGAAAGGTTTGTGGGGGGAGTGCTGGAAATGCATGTGCACTGTATGCAGGTGTGGAATGGACACAATGAAATCCCCTATTATCAATGTATGATATATAAAAAATCAAATAAAAATAAATTTTAATCCACTTATAATAATCTTATAATTAATAATATAATCTTACAATAATTAATTTTAAGTTAGGTAATGTTACCAAAAGTTTGAATAAGATGATTGTTCCATAGTTATGGGCACTCAGAAGTAAAAGTCTAAATGAGCCTGAGTTATGGTAATTGGGTTGAGATGAATTTAAAGTAACCCTGGTGTTTTCTTTCTCTGTCCTTACATGGGCAAGTCAAGCCACTTCCTATACTCAACATCTTAGCGGTGGTAGAATGATGACAGAGGGTGGGAATATTAAAAACACACATAAACACTCACCTTGAAAAAGTAATTCATTGGGTGTTTGAGTGCAAAAGTTTGTAATTACAGATGCTAGCAGATAAAAACATTGCTGGATGACCAGGCAGGGACCGCTGGGTTGTTGAAAGGGAACATTTTACAGTTTCTGTGTCCAGTCTAGCAGGCAGGTAACAAACAGTGTGCCAGGCAGGCTTTCGACTCCACTCCCAGCTGAGGTCAGTCAGCAGGCACTCAACTGCAGTGTTTTTAAATTTCTTTGGAAATTTGCAAATTCTATTTCCATATTTAGGGGTGTGGAGTATATATGGTAACTGCTATATCCGTGAGACTTTTTGATAGAAACAGATCAAGATTATTCCCAAGAGGAGCAAAGCAAAGAACATTATTCTCAAATGGCCATACAGACATGAAGAAGTCACTCCCAGAGAAAGGGCCCCCCAGCAACTCTGAAGGAATCCACGGGTGAAACCAAAGAAACAAGTGCCCAGGGTGGGAAGGCATCCTCACCCCATGCAGAGCCCTGTGGTCAGCTGACATGTCAACTCCACCAGTGAGCTGGGTGGAGTTACTGCTGAGAGGCCTTCAGGACTGACACAAGCCTTGCCTTTAAGAGACATCAGACATCTAATATCCACGCCAGTCTGGACCTAGGCTGCCTTCTTTTATAACGACAGTAATGCTTTTTATTAAAAACTTTTTTTGGTAGTACTGGAGTTTGAACTTGTGCTTTACCACTTAAGTCACAACTCAGGACCTTTGTGCTTTAGTTACTTATCAGATAGGAGCTCACATTTTTGCCTGGGCAGTCTGTGTGATCTTCCTGTTTATGCCTCTCACATAGCTGAGATGACAGGTGTGCATAACCATACCCTGCTTATTTTTTGAGTTGGGGTCTTGCTAATTTTTTCCTCTATCCACGATCCTCCCAAGTAGCTGGGATGTGTGAACCATCTCACCCAGCCTCATTTACAAATTTTCTTTAAATTAAATATTTCAAATCTAGAGGGTTGCCCCTCTGGCTATTCAATGCAGAAAACAAAATGGCCTTTTTTCTTTTGCAGGTGGGTTGTTTTTGCTCTCCTCCCTTCCCTGGGCACCTGCAGACTTACCAGGAGCTTACTGAGGATGTGGTCCCCAGAGCCAGAGGTGGAGCCGGAGCCGTCTTCCTGTAGAGGGCATATGGTGTGGAGGAAGGGGAGGAAGGTGTCTGTGTAGTCAAACAGGTATAGGTACAGCAAACCGAGCCTTGGAGAGCTCTTGAGGGCATACAGCAGGAACAAGGATCTGCCCGGGTTTACGGCCTGCAGAGGACAAAGCAGGCACAGCGCCATGTTACAGCCACAGCGGCTGCCTGCCCACCTGAGCTCCTTCCTCAGTCCCTTTGCCACTGGCTTTTGTGCATGGTGTGCAGAAACAATGAATGAATGGCAGGAAGAAGTACCATTATAAAAAGGCCCAATCTCTAGCTGTGCCTAGGGGAAGGGGCAAAAAGCTTGTTCCTCTCCTTTGCTCAGGAATACAATCTTTTGGGAAAACAGTTTTGTAAAATACACCAGTCTTAAACATATTTATAGTGGGCACAACTTAAAGCAATCTGACGTGGAGAGGGATCCATATATAAAATGTTTAGTGCTGCATTGTGTGTACAGTGAAAACCAATGAAATCTGTGGCCTAAGTAATATCTTAACATGATATTTAGCAGAGCCGGTGCAGGTGGCTTACGCCCATAATCCTAGCTACTCAGTAGGCAGAAATTAGAGGATTGCAGTTTGAAGCCAGCCTGGGCAAATAGCTTAAGAGACCCTATCTTGAAAAAAACTCAACACAAAAAAGAGCTGGTTGAGTGGCACAAGGTGTAGGCCTGAGTTCAAACCCCAGTGCTGCAAAAAAAAAAAAAAAGTTTATTTAGCATGGAATTGATATGATATGGTCACTGAAAAGTGAGTAGGAGAAGATTTATACAATAATCATGTTATGTTAGGTAAAAATAATATTCAACAATGTGTAGCAAGGCCAGTCATGGTGCACACCTGTAGTCCCAGCCCTCAGGAGGCTGAGGCAGGAGGACTGAGAATTGAAGGCCAGCCTTGCCTACATGGTGAGATCCTGTCTCAACTAAAAGGTGCTGCGAGTTGTGGGTCACACCTGTTGGTCCCAGCTACTTGGCGGATGAAGGGGGAGGATCATGAGTCTAAGGCCAGCCTGGGCAAAGGTAGCAGTGAGACCCCATCTCAAAAATAAAAAATAAAAGGGCTAGGGGCATGGCTCAAGATAACAGTGCTTGCCTGGCAAGCATGAGACTCCAAGTTCAAACTCAGTACCATCAAAAAAACAAAAGGGCTGGGGGCAATGGCCCACACTTGCAATTCTAGCTACTAAGGAGTTGGAGATCAGGAGGATTGAGGCTCAGGAGGATTAAGGTTTAAGGCCAGCCTGGGCAAAAAGTTCGGTAGGTCCCCATCTCTATGAAGAGGTGACAGTGGCACGCGCGTGTCATCTCAGCTACAAGGGAAGCACAGATAGGAGGATCTTGGTCAAGGCCGGCCTGGGCATGAATTCAAGTCCTCTTTGAAAAATACCTACAGCAAAAGGGACTGTGGGTGTGGCTCAAGTGGTAGAATGTCTGTCTGGAAAGCATAAGACCTGAGTTCAAACCCCAGTACTGCCAAAACGAACACTACAAAAACCAAAAACCAAAGCAAAGAAAACCAAAGGGCTGAGAGCATTGCTCAAAAGGGAGAGCACTTGCCTAGTATGCACAAGGTCCTGGGTTCAATCCCCAGTGACACACACACACACACACACACACACACACACACACACACACACAAAGATGTGTAGATGTACAGCAAGATGACCACCACACTGTCAGCACCATCACTGCAGGGTCTGGCTGAGGACTGTGGTCTCTTCTCCCAAAGGTACCTGGCTCTCAACACAGTCTATAGATGTTTGTTGAACGAATAAACAAAAGGTTGTTGAAGTCATTCCAGGACAGACTAAGAAATAGCTGAACAAAATGCAATGTCACTGTGCTTGATTCAGGTGGAATTATGGGCCATTTCCTTTTATCTTTCTTACTTACATAAATCTTTAAAATTTTACTACAATGAATGTCCACTTAATTTTTCCTGATTATAAAATTAACTTTAGAAATGATTCAACTTATATCAACTTAGTTGATCAAATAAAATGGGCACCTCAGCACAGAAGACCTAAGATGGCAAGTCAGCACATGGAACAGGCTGTCACTAGCCTTAGAGGAATGCATTTAGAACCACAGTGGAGACGATGCACACCTCTTAGACTGGGAGCCAGGGCTTACAAATGGGCAGGATTGTGGTGATGGTTTCACAGATATGTACGTATGTCCAAACTTACCAAATTACACATTAAAAAAATGTCCAATTTGTGTGCTGGGGATATAGCTCACAGGTAGAATGCCTGGCCTAGAATGTACAAGTCCCTGAGTTCTATCCCCAGCACTGGGAGAAAATAATCCAATTTGCAAAATGTCTCACTGCAGGCCTGGGGCAGGAGAGGTGAAAGAATAACTCAAAGTCAGGCACAGTGGCTCACACCTGAAATCCCAGCACTCAGGAAGCTGAGGAAGGAGGGTCACAAGGTCAAGGCCAGCCTGGGCTATATATTGAGACCCTGCCTAAAAAACAAAAAAAGATGAAAAGCAACTTGAACAACTTGACACAAGAGAAAGGAAAGCAAAAAGGACTAATAAGGTCATACCAAAAGCACTCTACCAAGAATGCATTTTATCACTATTACTGTTAAGTTACAGACTTATGCTCATAATCCCTGTGAGATGTGAATGCCACAGGTGCTGTACAGCTGTTATGTACTGTGGGCTTTGGAGGCCTCACATCACTGCAGTTTCTAAGACTTGCTCACTACTCTCCCCAGAACCAGTTTTTGCTGTGCTGGGGTGATTCTGTTCTCATTGAAGATGCATGTTTGAAAGGAACACAGGTCCTGGAATAAAGCCTGATCAGGTGCAATAACAAGGGAAGGGAAGGACCACATCACGTGTCTGCAGCTCCAGTATCTGCCAGAGTGCTAGACCTAAACCCTAATCCCATCAGATAAGGAGGAAAACCCCAGGCAATGAGGCCACTATGAGGATAGCACCATAGAGGAAGGGAGGCCTCTTTCAAGGTGTTCAGGAGGAGCTGTGCCAGGGCACCAGCGTGGGGAATATTTCAGCTAAATGGAAACGGCCACCTCAGGGAAGGGCTGGGAAGCATGTACTAGAGGAGCTAAGTGAAGAAAGATCCTCTGGCTTTCACATCGCTCCCAGAATTAAATTCCCATTTGCTCTTGTTAATATTAAGATTACTTGCACTTTCTTTTTCTTTTTAGACAAGTTCCTCTATGTAGCCCCAAATGGTTTAGAACTCTTGATCCTCTTGTCTCAGTCTCCTGAGTGCTGGGATTACAGGCTTGCACCATTATACTTGCACATATTTTAAATAAAGTTATTGCTGGATACGAGACTCAGAAATGTTCTGCTACATATTAAAAGCCACACTGGGACTATTAGTGGCTACAGAAAGTCCAGGATTTGACTGGACTTTAACCAAACTAGTCATTTTTGATAAAAGAGAAGTAAAGATGTTTTCAAATTAAAAAAAAAAAAAATAGTGCCAGGCAGCAGTGGCTCACACCTGTAATCTTAGCCACTCAGGAGGCAGAGACCAGGAGGACTGAGGTTTGAAGCAAGCCTGGGCAAACAGTTTGTGACACACTATCTGGGAAAAAACCATCACAAAAAAGGGCTGGTGGAGTGGTTCAAGGTGTCGGCCCTGAGTTCAAATCCCAGTGCTGCAAAAAAAAAAAAAAAAAGTGATACAAAATACACAAACTTTTCTACCCCAGGAACAGTACACCTATTCTTCAAAAATTGTGCAACGTGGGCTGGGGTTTACCTCAGTGGTACAGCACTTGCTTAGCATGTATGAGGTTTTGGGTTTGGGTTTGACTACCACCAAAACAAAGGAAAAAAAAAGGTGTATTTAAAATGCTAAGCATGGTGGTAATCCTGTAATCCCAGCACTGGGGAAGCTAAGGCAGGAGGATCTTGAGTTCAAGGTCAGTTTAGCTTCCACAGCAAGAATCTTGTCTCAGAAAAAATTATTTTTGAAACTGACTTTTTATAAAAGTAACACATACACATAATAAAAATGTTTCAAGTGGCACAGAGATGTATTTATATTTTTTGGCAGTACTGGGGTTTGAACTCAGGACCTCCCATTTGCTGTGTTGGTGTTCTATTGCTTGAGCCACTCCTCAGCCTGGCACAGAGGTGTATTAACAGACAGTTTCCCTCTCAACCAGTTCCATTCTCCAGATGAGACCACTGTTGATAGTGTGGGGCTGGACGTGTAGCTTGTCTAGGTGCATGAGGCCCTGGATTTGATCTTCAGCATCAAAAAAAAAAAAAAAAAAAAAAAAAACTTGTATCTTTTTCTAGAAACTTTCTGTTTCTATTCCAGAAAATACTTACCTATGTGCCAACATACACGTAGGTAGTATTTTCTAATGTGCTTTTCTTTCAGTTATCAATTCAACTTGAACATCCTTCCTTAATGCAGGTTTTTTTGGGGGGGGTGGTTGTTGCTGGAGCTTGAACGGGGTCTTGTGCCTGCTAAGCTCTATCCTGAGCTACACCCCCCAGCCTTCCTTATTAGCACAGTCACCTCCTCCTTTTTCTCTTTGGCAGTGCTGGGATATGAACTCAGGGCTACTTGGTAGGCAGGCATTCTACCGCTGGGGTCATGCTCTAGCTCACCTCCATCTTTTTCAATGGATGTCCTCATTTAACCTGATCCTGATGATGGACGTTTAGGTTCTAGGTGCTGCCATCACCAGCGATGCTGCAGTGAACAACTTATATAATGTTTTTTTGTGAATTGAAGTTCAATTCTCACCATGGCCCTCTGAGGCCATTTACAGAGGAGTTAAGGTGAATGAGAGGCCAAGGTCCCTGCTTGTGTCCCCACAGCTAGTGAGTGCTGAAGGAGCCAGCAGGAACTCAGGCAGGTGGCCTCAGAGTCTGGTTTTCGATCATGGCACTATGCTGCCTCCACTTCAGATGCAAAGAAGTGAAATGCAAGATCAAGAGTAGGTGCGGTGGTTTGTATTAAAATGTTATTGACAAACTGCCCTAAAGAGGCCATGACAATTTATGATCCTCAAAACACACAAGTGCCTCTTTCTTTATGTTATATGTTTTCATCTTTTTTTTTGGCAGTACTGGGGCTTTGAACTCAGGGCCTCCACTTGCTGCGCAGGCACTCTACCACTTCAGCCACTATGTTAACCCTGCCCTTCTTCAATAACAAATGCACATTTCCCCTCATAAGCTTATTAGCTATCTGATTTTATTTTTCTCCACGATGTCATTTTTAGGGTATAGAAGTGTATATTTCAAGCATTCTGTAACTAGTAAAAACACAGTAATTGTTGTGTTGTTGCAAAGCGTTCATTAAATCCTGTTTGTGAAGGAGGCCCAGTGGGTATGGGCAAGTTGAAGATTATTTTCTCAGCATGTGACGAGCTGAACAAATGCATTACTTGTGACCTAGTGATTCCACTCCTTAGTATAAACCATAGAGAAATGCTTGCACATGAGCCTAGGGATAGAGCTCCTTGCAGAAGGATCTGCTCAATTCATGCCTCTTGCACAAAGGTTACAACTTGCGAAATAACGCTCCCACTGCATGGACCCCACCCACGGTAGATGCAGGAAAACAGGCCCTGGAGGAGTGCCCAGCACCGGCTGCAGAAGCATGGTTGCCTCTGGATAGGAAGGGCTGCCCAGATGCTTCAATCAGGGCTGTGATGTTTTCTGTCTTCAGCTAAGCAGTGAGTGACTGCTCACATGGCAGGCAATTGCTATGTTGTTCTCTATTCTTCAATTAAAACAAACAGTTTACCTTATATTCCCAGAGATTTTGGGGTGGCTTCACACCTAGTGCTTTCACGCGCTCCAGCTCCATGAGGATGGCTCTTCTGTGGCTGCTGTTTTCTATGGTATATGGTGCCCTGGAAAATTCTTCCTCTGTCAAAGTTAAAAGCAATCTGTGGAGGGGGTGGAGGTAGGAAGAGATTTTTGTGAGACTATATACTGAAAATACTTTAGGCCTGAGCTAAGGTAAGCTATTAAAGACATGTAATAGACTTAATCATGGCAAATAGCGGAATGTACTACTTGCCCATTACTACCCAAAAAGATTTCCATAAACCATCACTGATTTATTCAGCAGTTCTGAGGAGTAAATGGCACAATGTCCACTCTGTAGATCAAAAACTGGCCTAGATTAAAGGCAGTGATTTGCCTAAGACACACCTGGGTGTTTCTGTCCCAAAGCCTTTTTCTTTGAACTACAGACTCCAATTCTCGAATTACTATTTTTTTGTGGTACTGGGACTTGAACTCAGGGCCTACACCTTGAGCCATTCCACCATCTCTTTTTTTGTGAAGGGATTTTTTTGAGATAGGGTCCCATAGAACTGTTTGCTAGGGCTGGTTTTGAACCCCAATCCTCCTGATCTCTGCCTTCCAAGTAGCTGGGATTACGGTGTGGCCACCAGCACCTGGCCTCACATCATCATCATCGTTGTTATTAATGGGGTGGCAAACCCAGGGACTTGTACTTGCTAGGCAGGCAGTCTACCCCTTGAGCCACACCTCCAGCGCTCGTATTCTATTTTAAAAATTTTCAAGATCCCTTATCTATGTTCCTCATCAGAAGACAATGACCCACCTCCAGTGATTTGTCACTGAAAGCGTCTCTGCACAGCACAACAATACAAACAGTACTTGGGAGGCTGAGGCAGAAGGGTTGCGAGTTTGATGCCAGCGTGGGCTACACACTGAAGCCTCATCTCAAAACCAGCAACAACAACAACATACGATTTGCATAATGATACCTGTTTAAACACTGAGGAAACCCTGGGGCCAGGGTGGAGTTCAGTAGTAGAGTGTACACTTAGCATGTGCAAAGCCCTGAGTGTGATTCCCAGCCCTCCTGTCCACGGACACCTGCAAATCTGGAAAGATGTCTAGCAAGATATTAATAGCAGTCTTTTTCTGAAGAGTAGGATTATAAGAGTATTTCACTTTCAGTTTCGTGTAGTCTTACATTATTTTTTTTGAAATTACTTTTACAATCAGGAGGCATCAAAAGAACTAAAATGTTGCTAATATAAAATGATACAGCTCCTGTGGGAAATAGTTTTGACAGTTCCTTACAAAAGCAAACCCTATGACCCAGCCATTTCATTCCAAGAGTACTGAAAACATATATCCACATAAAAATCTGTACACAAATGATCATCATATCATTATTCATAATATCAAGGAAAAAAATGGAGTTAACCCAAATGTCCATCAACTGAAGAACACATAAAGAATATTTGGTCTGTCTATACAATGGAACATTTTTCAGTCATAAAAAAGGAATGAGCACTGATATATGCTGCATCGTGGATGAACCTTGAAAATAGTGTTTATGCTAGGTGACAGCCGGACATGAAAAGCTACATATTGTATGACTCCACTCATATGAAAGGTCCAGAGAGGCCAATCTACTTCAGGAGGGAGAAAGCTGAGTGGTGTCTGCTAGGGACTGGGGGAAAACGTTTCTTTTCAAGGTCTGACTGGGGGGATGGTCACATGTGTCTGTGGAACATTAAAACTAATGTCTGTATACTTTTAAGTGGGTGAATTTAGGGCATGTGTAAGAGGTCTCCATAAAGCTGCTTACAGAAATGTCCATGGCATGCCATATTTTTTCCTCACCTTCCATTTACTCTTTCGGATAAAAACCTGTCTCTGTAGAGAGAGGCCCATGGGCCCAGCTGCTCTAGCCAGATGATGACTTCTTCTGCGGTCCATTTGGCCACAGCCTTGTGGACCAGGAGGTCGTGCTCGGAGTCCCTGCTGCTCCAGTGATACACTAGCAGGACCACCTGGGAAGAGGGACAGGGACTTCAGGACGTAGACAGGTGAGTTTCTGAGCATGTGAGTGTGGGGCGGGGCAGGGCAAGGGGCTGAGTCTGAGGCGATGATTCTGAGTTTGTGCATGGAAGCAGGCTGCCACTGCACAGAGACTTGGGGGCACAACTGTCCTAGGGCTCAGGTGTTGATTGCTGGGCAGTGAGGGAACAGAGATGGAAGAGGACTGACGGAAGGTATCTGGAAACAGATACACTCCTCACCCTATCAACAAGGACAACCCATGTGCCTTTTCTACCACAAACACGTTTAGGTATCAGGAACACTGAGCTTAAAAAGAAATAGTCTCTGCATGGGAAGTCAGAGACGTGTGCTCTCAAGATTCTATCTCCAATTCCAGTTCTGCCACCTTTCTGCCCTGTTTCCTCAGGTCTGAACTGGGGACAACAATGATGCCTGCTACGTAGGCTATGAGCAGGACTGAATACCACAGAGCTAATATTTATTGGGCAATGACTGTTATGTGGTCTATTTGAGTAGGCACCATTCCTTAAGAAATCATACAACCCACAGATTTCAATGTATATGGTGGTTTTACAAAGTCATGTCATCAACTGTTTAAATGAGATCAATCCAACCAATTTCAGTGGAAACTGGGAGTAGGTGGGAGTGCAGAGAAATGTGGAGACTGACTTACTGCTACACCAGTTAAAGCTGTGAGCACCCCGGAGAAGAACCCCCCTCCTCTCTGCTGGTTCACTCGGCCTGTGTTGGCAGCTGAAGGAATCTGTTCGTTCCCGTATTTTTGAAAGGCTGCGAGACTTTGGACTATGTCATTATTTTGCTGAATGTCTTCACGTCTCATTCTAATGGCATCAGGAAATAACTTTTCAATGGCATCCCTATAGAGAAGACAGAAAACAAGAATAGTCAATCAAGAGAGCTATTTAGAGGGCAAAATGAAACAGTCAACACTTAGTAGTATACAGGTGATCAGGAGAATAGAAAAGAGTGCATTCCATAGCCTGCCGTGAGGTAAAAGCAAAAAATTAGTAACAATCTACATGTCCACGATTAAGGAACCAGCTAAATGAAATCACATAGCTTTATGATTACATGGTTTTACCAATGAATCTCTGTGTCAAGACAGATAAATTTAAGACATCTGGTGCAGCATGAAAACAGTAAATGCAGACCCACACAGATAGCAAACCACTGACTGGAGAAAACTTTTGCATTTTTTATTGGCATATGCATGTCTAAAAGCATTTCTAAAAATTGTGAAGAAATCACAACTGGGACACAGCTGAAAATGCCCTGGGGAAAAGGAAGGATGGAGGTCAGGTGTGGTGGCTCATGCCTGTAATTCCAGCTGCTTGGGAGGCAGAGATTAGGAGGAGAATTGTTCAAGGTATCTTAACAAATAAGTGTGGAGTGGTGTCATACATCTACAATTCCAGCTATACAAGAGGCACAGGTAGGAGAACCAAGATCCAAGGCCATCCTGGGAAGAAAATTCAAGACCCTATTAGAAAAATAACTAAAGCAAAAAAGGACTGAGGACATGGCTTAATAGTAAATAGTACAAGTAGTAGAGCGCTTGACTAGCAAGTGTGGGGCTTGGAGTTCAAAAGTTCAAACCCCAGTACCGCCACACACACAAAAAGGATGGATTCTAAAATGGGGGACCTGGATTATTATTGTTCCAATCTTCTTTAAAGGATATAAAGAATGAATGTATGTGTAAGGCAAAGTTGAGTAGGAAGAGAAGAGTGGCCATGAGGCTGTTCTCATTTGCCATTACATAAAATCTTTTCATTTAAGATTAACCTTCAATAAAGAAAAGCTGACAGATGGGAGCCAAGTGTGAATACATCTCTGGTACAAATGAGGATGGTGGGTAATGGTTTCAGGGAACTTCCAAGTACTCTGTCGGTATTAAGAAAGTTGGACTCGAAAAAGACAAGGCTTGGAGGCTCACAGGCCTCATGGAGACATAGTGACTGTACAGAAGCTGAAAAGAACCAGAGCTCTGCAAGGCCTGGCCACTGGCTGTTGTGTCAGAAACTCTGTTACATGTCGACTGGCACATGGTTTATTTAAGATTATGGAGATGAGCATTAGGTTATTCACACTTGTACAGCTTTATCATTTTCTCAGTAAATACAAATCAAATATGACAAAGGATTACAAGTAACAGTCTGATAACCAGAATTTACTCTGTTCCTTCATTTACCATAAATGGTGAATGAATGACAGCAGTCACATGAGTGGGAGTGGGAGTTTTCGCATCCAGAGCGCTCTGCCTCACATTCTGGAAGATCCAGAGTGACAACCAGGGGGACGTCAGCTCTGAGCCTGCCCTGTTTTCCAACGTGGCTGTTCCCATGAAAAGAAAGCACCCCTAGGAGCCAGCATTACCTGAGGAGAATGTTGACCTTGGGGAAACCTTCCCACTTTTCTCTGCATTCTGGACACTCGGTTTTCTTCGAAGACACCCACCACAGAGCGAGGCAGTGCCGGCAGAAGCTATGCCCACAGTTCAAGGTGGTGGGGTTAACCAGGATGTCATAACAGCAGTGGCAAGAAAACTCACTAACAGAGATTGGAGGGCAGGGGTCTGTGGGAGGGTCGTCCTTCTCCGGGCCTGTTGTGTTCAGGTTACTTTGCTTGGGCTCCTCCATTGCTCAGCAAATTCCAGGATCCACAGACACAAAAAATTTCAGATTCAGGAAACTGCTTCAGATTTTCATAAAATCTAGGGGAAAAAAGCAGTGAAATAGGACAGAGTAGTTGTTAAAGATTACTACCATCCTATTAAAGTTCTCATTTTTATTTACTTCTGCAGGACCAGGGGCTTAAATCCAGGGTCTCATATGTGGTCGGCAAGTGTTCTACCACAGAACTAGATTCCCAGCCCCCAGGCTCTACTTTTTTTTGGTGGTACCAGGGTTTGAACTCAGGGCCTCACACTTGCTAAGGAGGAGCTCAACCACTTGAGCCATTACACCAGCAAGGTTCTACTTTTTAAATGGAACAAATTCGATTTTAAAAAATCCACATTTTGTAAATCAGATAACCATCTCTGAAATTTCTCCGGTGTATTTGTCATTTATTTCAAAATGATATGACACAAACAGACTGAGTTTTCAATGGGCATGGGAATGGGAGAATGCTGGATCTTTTCACAAACTTCCTTTTCACATGTAGTAACTCTAACCTCATTTTATATTTATATATATATATATTTGGTGGTGCTGGGGTTTGAACTCAGGGTCTCATGTTTGCTAAGGCAGGTGCTCTACCACTTGAACTACTCTGCCACTCTTTTTAGTGTTGGGTATTTTTGAGATAGGGTCTCTCAAACTATTTGCACAAGCTAGCTTTGAACCATGATCCTCCTGATCTCTACCTTCTGAGTAGCTAGGATTACAGGTGTGAACCACGGGGGCCCAGCAGCATTTTTTTTTTTTTTTTGAGACAGGGTCTTGCTGTGTAGCACTCAGGCTGGTCTTGAACTTGACAGCCTCCTGTTCCCACAGGTGTGTACCATCATAACTGGCCCGGTCTCAGTATTCTTTGGTTAAATTTTTAAAGCTCCTTCCAGGTGTATGATTGTAATTAACTAGCTTCCTGGCCCACCAAAATGTCTGGAGTTGGCAAAAACAGATACATGTCATGTAAATAACATATTTTGTTCATACCAACCTGCCTTCCCATTAGGTAATCATTCTTTAATAAACATTTGGTTTCTGGGGCTTCAGCTGGAACAATCCCAGAAATTGAGTGATGGCTTGTATTCAGGTGTTCTGTGCCACTCCCTTGTGACTCAGTAGACCCCTTCTCCCCACATCAATCTGAATCTGCATATTGTGTCCTCTGCATTCGATCAGTGTGACACCACAGAATCATGCTAATCGCACAAGACCATTGTCTTGTCATTGTCATTTCGGTCTTAGGAGATTTTATTTTTGTACTTGACAGGTGGTAGGATGGCACACAGATTCCAGAGCTGGGCGGCCTGGGTTCTTCCCCCCACCTCCTCGAGTACAGTGGGGGAGGTTTGCTCAGTTAAACAAGAAGATGCAAGTACAGTGCCTAATACAAAGCATGGCACATGGCAATTATATCATAAATGAAAGCGATTTATTTGATTTTTGCTTTTCTGATGTCGGGGATGGAACCCAGGATTTCACCCACACTAGGCAAGTGCTCTCCCACTGAGCCACACCACCAGCTAACTTACCTGATTTTAAAATGCAGTGGTAAGAGTATTTTATCAGCCTTTAAAGGGTACATGGCCTTGTATACAGCATGAGAACCATATGTTTTAAATAAGTAAGTGTGTGAGGAGAAACAAGAAGGTATAGTGTTAGTAGCAAGTGTGTTTGGTAAAGGAGGATCACAAGTGATATTTTTCTTGCTCTTGATTTTTTTTATTTGCCAAGTTGTTTGTAATAAAAACATGACTCTTATAATTATGCAAAATATATATAAAATTGTAAAGAACATATTGTATTCCTTTTGGCCAAACACTAATGGGAGATTTTCAACTGAGATAATAAACACAAATCAATAGTAAACTCAGTGATAAAGGAAGAATACAGATTCCTCATCCACCACTAAAAAGATAATTAGGTAAAGATATAGATAGATAGATACATAGATGTAAACTTAAAAGATCAAACACAAATTTAATAAACATAAATAAACCTCATCACAGTAAAAAGAGGGAGCAAACACCAGGTGTGGTAGTACACATCTGCAGTTCCAGCATTGAGGAGAATAAGGCAGGAGACTCCTGAGTTTATGACCAGTCTGGGCTCAATAGTAAGACCTTGTCTCAAAAAGAGGGGAGGAACCCTCTTGCATAGGCCTATTAGAAACTGTTCCTTTCTGGAAGAGACAAATTCCAGATTATTTGTAATAATCCCACTTGTTCATTATTTCTATGTTTAGGAATAGTTAAAATTTTCAAAGTGCTTTCCTTTGGGCAGCTTCTTCACACTGCTAAGGAAGTAGAACTCATAGGTATATAGGAAAAGAATAATTTTGATAAAGTAGTTCTTTTATTATGCTGATACCAATGAAACAATTACCTCGTGAAGAGCACTGTCCTAGGAAATACTAATGAAGACATCACTATTTATGAGCATCTCCTATAATACATCACTATTTATGAGCCAGGTCCTTTAGACAAGTTCTGATCACATCTGGATTGAGTGTCAGAGGGAGAATACAGAGACTTCTGAGTGAGGGGGGGAGCCTGCCTTGGCAGAGTTCACTTTTACTTTTACTGAAAGCAGCAGGGACACAGCTGAGGTGCAGGCTTGATACAGGGTATGGAGTCAGTCCCAGGTTAAAGAGCTGGCTGGTGGGAAAGGGAGCACAGAGAGACGCAATGAGATCATCAGAGCTGTGCTTGGAATGGTGAATCTCATTGTGCAGGAGGGGCTGGTGGAGTGGCTTAAATGGTGTAGTGCCTGTGCTGCAAGCATGAGGCCCTGAGTTCAAACTCCAGTACTGCCCAGAAAATAAAAACCAAAACAAAGGTCATTTTGAAGGAGGATAGGCTGGAAGCAGGTAGCATAACTAGGGAGAAGTTAAGAGTTCTGGGACTAAGGCAGCAAAATGAAAACACTAGGGCTATGACTGTAGCTCAGTGGTAGAGAGAAGAGAGAAAATACAGAACATTAAGAAAAAAATTTATGGGGTTTAGTAACTACAGAGAAACAGGGCAAGAAAGGGTGTACTTCTGATTGCAACTGGGTCACTGTAAACAAACGGTGCCAGTCTTGGAAAGTTGAGAGAAGCTGAGATTACAGTGATGGTAAGACTCCCAATTAGAAATGTCTACTGAGCAGGTAGAGATACAAAACTGTAAATGGCTCAATATGGATTTCAGAGTCATTTGCAGAGAAATGACAAATAATGCCTATTGAAATCAATTTCTCACCAATTAATCTTTAAAACTAGAGTACGTCAGCATTTCATTGTCTACCAGATCTTAGGTTTACTTCTCATGAGAAGACAAATGACACTGACATTAAAGGTGCATTTTATGTCATACTTTGCAAAGCTGAGCTCATCGACTGTTTTGCAACTGCTTTTAGCAAATTAGAAACTGCCTGGCCTGGGATTACTTGGTAGGAGCTTTGCTAGTTTCATTTCACCCTAAATTCGAAGCCTGGAAGCTCACAGAGTACACATCCCTCACTACATTCAGCTGCTCTTTCCTACTCCTATCTGTATGCACTGGTTTATTTCCACCAATTAAAGAAAGCAGTCCTTTGAGAAGAAGAAAGTGCATCCTAGTGATACAATCTGGGTGGACACTGAAGTCACAAGCTGCAGTGTTCTGACTTGTGTAAACACAGCCTGCTGCCCTGGCAATGCACAAAGGCCTCTATGAGGAGATGCTGTGCTCCTGACAATGTTTACAGCTGCTCTCTGCAAGCATGGCCAGCTGGGCAGCAGGCTGAGCCAGGAAGGGCTGGCTGGCCATGAACTCTTTCCCAAGCGAGCCTGTGATGGAAGGCTACTTTAGCCACGATGTTTTTACCTGTCCTCCCTGTGTCTGAAAGGCCTTGGACAAGACTGGGGGGACCTGGGCAGGAGTTGGGGGAGGAGAAACATTTTACTTCTACCTCTGGTGCCTTGATCACATGATACACTTCTGATTACAAGTGTTAATTACCTAGTTCAATGCTTGAGTTTGGGAAAATCTACAAAACAGCAAACAGAAGCAAGTTTAAAATGATAGGTAGAGCATCACGGAACTGCAGAGGGCAGCAAATCCCCAGAAGTCTCCTAGAGAACCAAGGGACTTTCAAGACCTCATTTCTAGGTTTTTGGTTTTCTTGTTTTGTTTTCGAGGCAGGGTCTTGCTATATAACCCAGGCTGTGGTGGAACTTACAATCCTCCTGCCTCTGCTTTCTGAGTTTCGGGATTACAGGTGTGTGCCACCCTGCCAGGTGCTAAGAGCTGGGATTTCTAATGAAATGGTGAGTCCCCCACTGAAGCATGGAGTGGAACATCTGGTCTGAATTCTGGGTCCCCTTTGTGTGTGCCTGGCACACGCATCTCCCTGGAAAGCAGGCTGTGGTTTTGTGAGGCTCTCTAAGGGACTACGCTCAGATAAGGTTAGGAACTATCGGTTGTCTGCTGGGATGAAAGCCTTCATATGTACTGGCTTCTCCTGCCTCCTGAAATGGGTACAACAGAGGAGGTGAGTGCCTCCCAGGGATGCTCACTGTGGCCAAGGGCATCCAACCTCCCTCCCCGTGTTAGTCTCACTACCAGCACTTACCACACTGCTGTGGCAACACCTGTCTTTCTTTCACAGGGTGTCCTTTTCCTCAGTCTTCTGTCCCTCCCTCCCCCTGCCTCACTTTCCCAAGAAGCTGAGACTACAGGAATGTGCTACTATGCTCGTCTTGTTTTTAAATTGCATTTGGTGCCAACATTTAAACAATCTGATTTTACACAGAAATCTCAATCTCTGGCTTCTCTTGGGAAAAAAACAAAACAAAACAAAAAACCAATCAGAAGACATGGCCACACTGGGGTCTGCTCTTGCATGATGGGCATCAGTGAGAGCTGAGGAACTCGGCAGTGCCCCTAGTCATGGCAAGTTAGCTGTGGCTGGCTGCTCCTCTCCTACCTGCTTGCTGTACTTCGGTTACTTTCTGACCCTGGATTTTGTCTCCTCATGTGATGCCTTCAGTTTAATGGATGGGTGCATGGATGTTTCTAGG